CCATTTGCATTTAAATTATGTGTGGACACATGATGCTGGCGTACGGCTCAGGTGATTCTGAGGCCAGGGGGAGAAGCCAAGACGGATCTACAGACGGCACAGCTTTAAAAAGCAAAAACATTTTAATCCCCCACCTCTTCTTACCATAGGTGATTCCTCTCCTCCCTCCATCACCAATGAAGGGATTAAAGGTCTTAGCTCAACTGTACTTTATTGCTTGTTAACAGGGAATCAGCACCCTGAGGAAACTTCTAGGGTTATTGAAAAGGACTTTTAGGAAGGTGAATGAGTTGATTACCTGATAATGGAGGACCCAACAGGGAAGGGATGGTGTTACCAGACAACAAATAAGGAATGACATCAAATAAGTGGGGTTATTTTATTTTTCCACACACAGAATAATAAGATGGTATCTAGTTTTATTTTTGTCGTGGCTCTTTGGGCGTCAAGTTTGCCTTTGGGTGTAGCATAATGTGCGACTTCAACACCGATGTTGGTGAAATTGGTGTTTGCTAATTTTTCGCAAATCAGCCATTACCGATTCATGAAAAGTGAACAACTGAACAGAGAAAGGTGGCATTTCTTCACTAAGCAAAAGCAAACATGAGAAATGGAATCGTGTGGATGCGGCAGGGAAAGATTGAGGTAAACTATTAATACGTTTTGCTTCCATTATTGTTAGGTAAAAACCAGCCCCTTGTTCCACACTGACCTCTGATCTGTTGAGAAACAGTTGCTTCCTGGAGCTTTAGACTTTGTTGAGGTTTTAAATTTTGCCCGTGTCGTATGTACTGCAGCAGTTAAACACCAAGAAGCTTAGCGATTATTGCCTGCGCCGTTAACAATCATTTTCCTCTGCAAAGAGATAAACACCCATCTGAACGAGGCGGCTGTCATGTTCACTTAGTATTTTTAAGCGTGGTCAACACGGACCGAAAGGCTTTGTTAATATCCTCTGCAAACTACTGACAGACTACGATTCTAAAATGATGCAGACAACCCATGTCATCACTCACCACTTCTTCTGCTCACTGATAGGCCAGGTCAAAAATTGTCTGGAGACAATCCAAGTCAAGGGAGGGAAGCCCAGAAAGAGAAAATGAGAATTAGGACATTTAGAAGCCGAGTTACTTTGAGCGGAAAGGCCTCTGATGTGTGTGAGAGACGGCCAATGACCACTACATAACTCAAACGTCTAAAGAAGATAAAAGCACATGATCACTATATTGCTCTTGCTAGTCATTCTAAAACTATTCTGGCGTTGCAGTTTGTGGGAGCAGAGATTATTCAAAAGGTAAGGTTCACTCAACTTTACTTTTCTCAACTTTTAAGACCACTGCGAATTATAATGCTTGTTCCAGCGATAAGCAAAATGTGAGTGTTGCAGCAAATCACAACAACTTGTTTTATTGATAAATGACACGATGAGAGCCCAAAGCAAAACATAAAGTGTACGGATTTGGCCTGTATCGACTGGCCATGAGGTGGAGATTCAGAAAGCTCTGCTAATTAGCAGAATCAATTCCAAAATATACAACTCTCTGTCATGTTGTCAAACAGCTTGCTATGTATTTAGGCGTTTTCCACAAGCACATTTTCTTCTCTTTTTACTCCTCACTGTATTGTATTTTCCTCTCTGCCGAGTTTGAACGTTGTCTTGAGCTGTGCGAAACCAAACCGATTCGTGCCACAAAGGGAAAAAAGTGATCAGTCTTTGCTCAGAGTGACCCGTTCACAAAAGCGTTTTCTCGCTTTTCTTTCAGAGAGGGCAAACGCTTCAGCGTCTACGGCCGACAGAAGTACACCGAGAAGAGTTCCTGATTCTTGTCCCTCTTCCCGGTGGTTGATGCTTTCTGCACCCAGCAAGGCTTTGTTGGCCATTATTATTTCTGCTTTCTGTTGCTAACCTGTCTCTTTCTGCAGCTCTGGAATCATTACAAACCTGCTCCTTCACTTGTCAGACTGCCAAAAAGAAACAGAAGGAAAAAAAAAACCCATCTTGGACGTTTCGAGCTACTGCAGCCTGTCAGCCTCAATGGCTTTGAAGTAAAAAGGCCTATCATTAGCGAACACCTTCCCTGTCCTGAGTTTGGACCTAACCTTTTATCTGGAACACAGGGCTCAAGGGTTTCCTACCTATAGACGACATGCATTTCAGAAAGTTTGGCTTTCATCTCTTTCTACAGACCCTGACAAAGATCGATGTGTGAAAAGACAGAACTTTTTTTTCTTTTATTGTCCATCATAGTCAAGGTAGCAAATTTAACTGGCTGGAAAACAGAGATTTATTTATAAGTAATGCATAAAGTATCTGTTTCCCCAGTGCTATCAATTGAATGTATACTATTGGCAAATAACTCTCTTAGTTCACAGTAGCGGACGATCCTGATGGATAAATATTGATTTGACAAGCACCAAACCAATCACATCTCGACTTGTTCAGAAGCATTTCATGCAACTTATAGTTCTAGAAAGGTCAAATTGAGCTTTTCAAGTACAAACATCCCACCCAAGGTCAAGCATGGTGGACAGACAACCTAAGATGCTGTGGGCCCGTCTCTCCTCCAAGCATCCTGCAAAAGTCGTTTGAGCTCACGACATAATCAGGACTTAAAAATAAATTGACATCCGAGGTAAATTATGGGAACGTACAGCAGGAAATGGGTCGATAAACATCTAGGAGACACGGTCAAAGCAACGGCGTATGAAACGAGACTCCATTTTTATAAATTCAAAAAGTGGCGGCAGACGTGACCTTCATGGAAACGGCGAGCCAAATCAGGAGAAGCTAAGCGCTTGTTTTTTCTGTGGACACATCATCTTTAAAATTGATTGTTTATATGTCTAGACCCACAAAGAACACAAATAACTGCAGTGGAACCTCTATTTTTTTCTTCTCAGTTCTTGAATCGAGGATTATCCATGAATCTCAGTGGCTTATATGAAAAATACAAGATCCTGTCAGAAAGATGGAGTTCCTGTATGAAGTATTACATTCTGTGTGTGTTTTTATGTGGTTACTTTTTTAACATGGAACCGTTTTCCTATTTTTCCCCCTCAATGAGTAGATCTACGTCAATTAAACGCTGAATTTTCTCAATCTTTCTAAATGAGCCTGTTTCCTCCTCTCCACTAGCTGGAGCCGATAACAGTGGAGAAAAAACCCGAAGATTAGCTTCTCTGGGCGGATCTTGAGCTCTATTAGGACCATCAGGAAATCTGCACCGAGATAAGCTTCTCATTATGCAGACAGCAGCAGATCAGATCTCGGAGCTTTAATTGTGCAATAGGCCTGGAGTTGTAGAGGAGAAAATTCTGGAAGCTTAGATAAACCCTCTTGCTTTTATCAGGTCTCGACCTTTTGGAGTCGCGAGATTTCTGGACTTCCATGCTGTTCTGTTTTCTGCCTGTCACATAATAACCAAACTCAGCACTGAAGTTTCGACAAATTCACAATATTGACAGAATGACTTGAACACAGCTGCTTTTAACCACATTTCCCCCCCAAACATAAACCGACTCTCTTTCACTCCCGGTGAGATTCAACCACATCGGTTTGCCTGCTTCTTGTAAAATCTGCAGCAACTGTGTCAAGTTTCTGGACTTATTGGTTTTAATTTACCATGTTCTTCCTTCTGCGCTGCTTCGAAGGGACTGTGAGAGACGGAAGCGCCATCTGCGCTCCTGCTGTCTGGTCATATAAAATGTATTAAAAATAATATCAACATGTCTTCTCAGTGGCTGAGGTAATCTCTCGAAGACGCCTCTCATTCTGAAAATCAATTTGCTTTCATCAAGTCTAATGGCTCTTGGTTATAGGGATCCACTTGGAGGGAACTATCCATTACTTTTGTGGGAATAAACTTTTCAAAAACACTTCAGCGTCTAGGGAAACGTACTGAAATAACCACTAGAACTCTTTCTAAATGCCAGAGCTTTTACTTGGACGCCACGTTTATTTACTTCAATTTGCACCTTTTTGGATTTACGGCTGCGCCGTCTTGTAATTTCGCTAAGAGGTTTGTACCTCACCGCGACATTTTTGCAGCTTTCCTGGCTTATAGTAAATCATAATTGGATTCCTGCAAGTGTAAATCAAAATAAACATAAAGTTGCATCAGCTAATTAGAGTCAGGTACAAGTCAGCAGGGTGAATCGCGGCACACGATCCTCGCAGACTTCAAGGACTGCGGTGCATCCAGTGCTATAGAGGCCCAACTTTGTGCAAGCTTTCAGAATGTTCCTCTCAACATGCAACGTTACTGGACTTAATTATCCTGTAAGTGACATCATGACATGCCGAAAACACGATGCAAGTGATCGGAAAGCATTACCTCTCGTTACATCACGGTTCCTTCCCTGAGCTGAATACTGATTTTTTTTTTTTTTTCTTCGTGCGTCTCTTTCCTCAAAAACTCAGCTGTCAGTCATTGGTGGAGCTGAACATCAGTTCATGCTTAAGTTTAAAACAAAAGCTGGTGATTAATAGAGCCACGTCGATAAAGTTTATTGGTCTCGGGAAAGATTAAAAAGAAAAAAAATAAGCTGAATTATCTTTATCGGGGAGCTGGATTACACAATTAAAGAAAGTGAAAAATCTGATTCTGAAGAAAGTTCTATTTTAAATATACCAGTGATGATGCTTTCTTTTAGAATGCAGTCATTTCTTTGCAGATAGATCCCAATACAAAGGAGAATCACTAACTCTAATATGCGTTTTTTTTGACTAAAGAAAGATTTAAAGACAACACAAAAGCTAATAAAAACTGGCAAATAAATTTGTATAAAACATTTACAGTATCAAATTAAAGTCAAACTTAATTAATGTACCAAGCTTAAATGGAAAGTAAAAAGGAGAAAGACCTCTAACAACCACAGATCACAAGCAGCCTGACATAAATTGAGTCAGGTGCTATTTTATCCTCACAGCTGAAATACATAGAACTGAAAGAGGTAAAAAAAATAAAAAAATAAAAAAAGGGGAACACGAGAAAACTTACCTGCTTCCTGGAAAATGTTCTTAAAGTTGAAACGAAGCCTCAGGTTCCTCCTGCCATGGGAGTTGAGTTACTGCTGCTGTTGTTCTTCTTATTTCTGTCAATCCTGTAATAATGATAACATGTTGCTTCAGGAGTTTCAAACTTAACCAACCTGGTCACAATCTTTGTGTGACAAAAGGCAATTTGGGCGTGTTGTGCTTCATATGCTTCATGTGCTTCGAAATAAGCAAGACTTTCATTTGGGTCATTTTACTGGATTGTTGGACGACCAAACCTGCAGCTGGGCTTTCAGAGTGGCCTCTCCTAACGGCACCATACAGTTGGACTTCTATTCTTTTTGCCTATTTTCCTTTTTTACAACTTTGTTGGGATTTTTTGTGTGTGTTTGTGTGTCTAGAATAAAAAGGTTTTTCTGATGTTTGCTGCTAAAAGAGCAACAGAGAAAAGCGAATGGAGGGAAAAAAAAAACAAAAAAACCCAAACAAAAATAACAGCTTTCTTAACGTCTCGCTCAGAGTGCGGCGAACTCTCTCCAAGCGGAGCAGAGCCGGCATTCTCAGCAAAGCACTCTAAAACCAGCGAGCCCGTAATGATGCTTTCAGTGAAGCAGCGAGATCAGACGCAGTCAGCTGGATCAATAGTTGAGCACATCGCTGTTCAATCAAAGCCTTCAGCCCACAGGATGAACCATGCTTCAGATCCACCGCGCGACAAAACCACATGGAAGCTCTTTCTATCGTCACTGAGACAAAAAAAAAAAAAGATATCTTTAAATAAACAATTAGATTTGTTTCATATACTGCATTGTAGTACCAACTGGCAAAAAGAAGGAGGATGTTACACAGGAAAACCCCCCTAACATCTCCTTCCAACATCCCATGAAAGGATAGTTGGTGTTTTTTTTTTTTTTTGCCTCCTGCTCTTTCTATGTATTCTGGCCCAATTATCTCAAGTGTTAAATCTGCAGTGGTGCTGGGCCTCTGAATATTTCATAATTCTCATTAGGCAGAAGTTGAGCCGTCTTTATTGAGAATCTTACAACTCTGCATGACTGTGCGCTCGGAAAGAAGAAGAAAAAACTAAAACATCCATTAGTGCTTCCTGGTATGTCTTTGAAAGATATCAGTGGCTGATCTGGTCAACTCTTTAAAGTTTTTTTTTTTTTTTTTTTTTTACAAGGAATGATAGACAAGACCAACTGGTTAACATTTTCATTTCTCGTGTGTCATCATAAATACATTATCGTGAGACAAATACATTTGTTTGTTGCATATTCCCAACAAAAGGGCAGATTTGCCTCCGTTTTCTCCAACAGATCTTATGCTGCCGTTTTATCTTTGTTCTCGAGCTCCTAAATGTGTTTCCAAAATCAGACAGAGCTTCACTCTTTACACATTTTCTTACATTACAGTCTTATCCTAACATCAAAATACCGCAAATTTCAGCAAACAATCTGTTACCTGAGGAGAGTCCTGTTTGTCTTGTCAAGCTGTGATTTGATGAGCTGATGAGGAACTGCTGAGCTTGCAGGTTGGCCCATCAGTAAGGCAGAGTCAGCTGGTGCAAATGCAACGTTCAAAGACTGCAAATAAACGTGTTGCTAAATGAATTGAGGCTGTTGGTGTTTTTTGTTTTTGTTTTTAAGTTGCTCATCACTATGAAGAACCACACCAGGAGTTAGCATTGAGTGACCGACCAAATCAAACATTCAAAGCGTTTAATAAGGTTGAGCAACAGAGATACAGGTTCGCTGACTTGTCCTTCATGACAACGAGACAGCAAAGAAAATACCGTTAATTAGGACCCTGAATCAGTCATTAGTGTATAATTGGGGCCATGAATAGACGTTTAATGAATGGAAAATTAACCGTCATCTCCCAGCTCTAATCAGTCGTTTATTCTAGATGGAGTCCTGATTGTGTTGCACAGAGAATGTACAATGGCGCCAGCAAAACAGCAACAGATAATATTTAAATGCGCATGTCTTTCCAGATATATTTTGTAATCAGGAGACCCTTTTTTTTCTTTCCACCTTATCAGGTTGTTATGAAGTTGATCCCCTGCAAGTACAAGTCAGTTCACCTGTAACAGCAGCCAAGGCTAATTTAAATAATTGGTAGAAATGACTAGAAGCGTTACACATTTACCTCCTTTTGACCAGTCATGACTGTCATCAAACCAGTTTTAAATGTCTGATGACATTTGACGTATTTTTTTCTGGCTTTATTATTTCTTCTTCTTTTCTTTTTTTTTCTTTTGTCTGACAGTGTTTGCTATTTCTATTTGCTTTTTTTTTTTTTTTTCAGGAATCAGTGGAACTAGACGGCGGAAAATCTGTAAAACTTTTCACTTTTACAAAATTAATATGAAAATAAAAGACATTGGTTCACTTTGTGGTCAGATAACAAAAGCTAAGCAAATTAGAACATAGCATATTTATTATGTCAGACATAACTGGACTCAACTTAATGGAAGTTTCTTTACTGTTGTCTGACTGATTCAAAGAAGAAAGTTTGTGTTTGGAGGTATATTTCTCTTTCCTTTAAAACACTATTCAATATTTTAACAAGATAAAGAGGGAAAACATAAAAGTAAAAAAACAACAACCATGTTATCATGTTGTGTAGTGGATAAGTTGACCCAAAGGCAGATGAAGAATGTTTCATAAACAATGATGAAGAAAACGTACAAAAATCACCAGGAGTCTTAGCAAAACAAAAACAGTAACAGCAGGGAAATAACAGGACATAACAAAAGGAACCAGCAAGGAGTGACTGAGAATGAGTGGTGAACTTAATTATGGAAGAAGGAACAAAGCAAAGAATAGACACAAAAATAATATGAAACTAAAATCAAATAAAAACAAAACCCCAAAACAACCCTGACACATTTATCTCTGTCCTGTTTTTATCGCCTTTGGTCTTTGATTTCGCTACCTTGAACAATCAAATTGATATGTCACATTTTGATAATGTCCTTTTTTTCATTACAATGCAGCTTCAGTCGACTCCCTCCACGTATAAACACCATATAATCACCTTCAAGGACTCAGAGTCATGCACAACGTGTCACCTGTTTCTCATCACAACGTTTAAGCTTCAGTCTGAGCAAAGAACGCCCGACTTTGTTCTGGTTCCCCTGCGAGCTTCAAAGGCATCGTTAGATTAAAAGGCTTGTTTTCTCCGTCTCTGCTGCCTTCACTGCTCCACTTTAACTATGGAATCAGGCAGATTCAGATGAAGAGAAATCATTCACAACCTCAGCAACAAACCTTGTTTTATTCAGTTAATTGTACTGACGTGCAGAAGGTGAGGTCTTTTTTTAAAATTATAAATTAAATCAATATTTAAAAGCCACATTTATGGTTTCACCCTGAAACGTTTAAGACAAAAACACAAACTGATTAAATCCATAAGGTTGGAAAATCTCTTTCACATCTCTGTACCTCGTTGGGTCTTAATAAAGAATCGTGATTATGATAAAACTGAGGCCATCTCATAATTTTGTTAAACCCTCTTATAATTTTGATTTCATAATCAAAGCTGTGCAAAGCCTTTTTCATGATTAAGCAATTATACACCTGAAAATTGTAATAAAACACTTAAAGGATAGTAAAAAAAAAAAAAATCTGTACTCAGGAATGAGAGGCTGTATCTCTTATAGATTCTGACCAATCTTATTAACATTATTTCTGTCTTTTGCTTTTGTTTTTTTTTTCCCCTTTAGCTCTCCTACCAGCATGTGTGCACTCATCTTGTCCAGCTGCGTTTTTGGTAACATCAAAGTAAAGTCAAGTCTCACTTTAACCAAACGGCTGCAATCAGCATGTGTGTCAGAACTGTGGATATTTTGGACATGTTGTTAATGTACTCATCGACCAGCAGTGCTTTCTGCAAGTGGATTTGTCACTCCTTCATCCACAAACAACAAAATGTCCTTTCATGTAGATTAAAAAAGAGGATCGTGATGATCCACGCTCTCAACTCACCTTTAACAAAAACATAATAAAACTTTTACGCTGTTTTTCTTTTATGATTTTTTTAGATGTTGATTTTCTGTGATATCTGCTGCCATGAAACATTAAAGAAAAGTTGTGCTACTTTGAAGCTTATTCCAAAGCATCGCTGCCTCACAACCACAGCTATTTTCCTGTTATGGATGAAAATGTAAGCCAGTTTGTGATTAGGAAACAACTGGGGTGTAACATAACATTCAAATGCACCCAATTACTTTTTCTTTGCACCTTAGAAACTGATTGCAATGTTTTTTCTTAGTACCTCCCCCACTTATTGCCACTAGGATACTAGTGCCCCGGATATAATACGGGGAAGGGAGGCAAGGTTCGAGGGAGGCGGATGTGTTGCTTACCTGATTTAATATTATGCATAAAGGCCCCGGTGATGAGGATGCCAGTCTGAAGTGTCTCATTAATTCCTCAGCTCACTGGGCTGTGGAGACTTCACCACCGTCTCTTCAATGCATTGAAATGGGAGGATAGTTTAGCTTTAATGCCATCACAGGGCAGCCATGCTATTGCTCCTCACACGCACATGTCCTAGCTTTCCACACCGTCAGTCATGTCCAATATGAATACATGAATACAGTGAAAGTCAACAACAGGGTGAATCACCATTCATGCCATTAGGCCATGAATGGTCTAATCTTGTGTCCTAATCCAAGACTCCTAGGTTTTGATTGCCTGTGAGCCTTGGAATGAAATTTCAGTTGTTTGATGCGGTAAATGAGGCTGAAGATTCATCTAAAAAAAACAAGCAAACATGAACATAAATCAAGGTTAATAACTTTGGGCAAGAGGACAATGCTTTTTGTTGCTTTCTTTATTCAGTTTTACAAACATTATCAACAGTTACTCAATTTGAGGCCTCTTCTGCAGTGAAAACAGCAGCGCCGAAAGGCTGAAAATATGATACAAAGTCTTCCCGGCGCATTGAAAAGTGTTGCTTTCCCCGGGACACCCCACGGTAAGAGAACCGGGGGAGACGATTAACTTAATTTACAATAAATACAATTAGCAAGTAAACAATATAAATTAAACTAAAAGGATTTAAACTTATCTCACAGGTTCA